TACATACATACACACACACACAAATACACATATCTATATAATCTATATATGTATATAAAAATTACATATATTTCCTATCAGAATATATATGTATGTCTGCATATACACAGACACACATGTCTATTTCTGAAAGTTTCTTTTGGGGTCTAGAGCTTGTTCTCAGTCACATTTCTCTAGTGCTCTGGCTTGAGACTAGGTGGCTTAGTTAAAGGCCTTCCCATTTCCTGTTACTGAGCAAAGACTTACTGGAGGACAGAAATACTCAAGGACCCTGCCCACGGGAGGCAGGAGAACACCCCCGCCCGAGAGCCCGTGGGGCCCTGAGAAGCGGACGCTCATCCCTGCTCTCTTTCCTTTCAGTGGCTGTGCTGCCTGTTGGTCTGACCCAGCATTTTGAACGTCGGTAACACTTCCTGCCTGCCTGCCTCTTTTCTCCCTCTTTATGATTTTGTGAATATGTACCCACGAGTGGCATGCATTGGTTACTCATACCTTCCTGCCTATTGCTGGCCTGTCCCAGCGGAGCAGCTGGGGGAAATCCTGGGCCTCTTTCCAGCAGCACTGAGCTACCCGAGCTGACACCAGGGCCACGGGGGAAAGAAATCGATTAAAGCTGTTGGCCAAAACAGTCCAACCTTTCTCTGGTGATAGGCAATCTGGGGACGGCCTTGGGTTTTCATATTTTAGGAAAGAAGACGTGGCCCAGAGCTGCAGAAAGCTCACAAATGTGGGTTAACTTCTGGGAAACGAGGCTGACCACAGCCTGTACCGCTTCCAAGGCCTCAGGAAAGGAGGCCTGCCTCAGCCCACCTGGGAAGGGCGCAGGGATCAGGCGCTGGGGAAATAGGACTTCCTTCCTGCCAGAGAAGCTGCTATATTGTGCGTGTCAGCATCTGCCAAGTGTACAGGTAAATTCTTACTGAGGGGAAGTCTTACCTGACAAATAACTAGAGGGGAAATACAATTCAGGTTAGTTTTGCTCACAGCTGAACACAGGGATCTTTGTTGTTGGTAAGAAAATATACACCACTGCCTATGGGTAGATGGGGATGGAGCTGGCTCTTAGATGCAGACTTTGGGAGCGAAATATAAAGGAAGCTGAGCTACTGGAGAACGTGCGTGCGCGCGCACACACACACACACACACCACACACACACACACACACACCACACACACACGCCACACACACACACAAACACACACAAACACACACACGCACACACCACACACACTCTGGCCCCTGTATTAGTCTGATTAAAGATTAACTTTCTACTTCCGGAAGTGGAACTAAAGGCTCTGAGGTGTCTCCTTATAAGAACATGTCTCATAAGTATGGCAAAACGCAAGTCAGCTTTAATGTTGCCTTAATATCTCCCAAGACCCAGCGGGGAAGGACAGATCGTTAACTGAAGGGGGAGCAGCTCTGGGGTCTCGCCTCTCAGGGAGCGTCTCTGGGGTCACACCACTTCAGGTAGGGTTCAGCTCATCTGGTGGTAGGAAAGGAGGTATGTTTACGTTGACGGTCTGTGAGCCTGGAAGAGAGGGTTCTTCCTTGCCCAGCTGGGGTGATGGAGCCAGAGCTGCCAGTAGCAGGCCTCAGCAGATGTGCCGAGCCAACCCTCCGGCTGCCTGGGAAGACCTTGGCCTGACCTTCCTGGGCCCAGCTGGTGGTGGTCGCCGATCTGATCCTGGGCCACTACCCAGGTACAAGCCCCCTCCCCCAATCTTTAAAAATCCAGTGCTACAAGCCAGTTCTCCCTTACATTTTATACTGGCATGGCTACCTCCATTGAAAATGCTGTATTATAAACAAGTTGCAACAGGTAGTTTTATATTTAAGGCTTATAGGCTTCAACTACTTTAGGCGATAGCCTCGTATCAAAAAAATTAGTCTTATTACAAAATTATATCCCTCTGGGGAGCCTTGGGTCCCCAGATGAGGATTGTCCTGGGGACTCTTGACCAAGATAGCCCCCGAAGCAAGGTGAAGATCCCAACACTGCATGGTTTTCCTCTCAAATACCTTGTAGTTTGCTTTATGTCCTCTCCCCACCCCCACCCCATCCCCAGATTAAGGCAGTGGTGGGTGTTGCTATTGGGATATTGGCGGTTCAGTGGCAGAATTCTCACCTTTCACGTGGTGGACCCAGGTTCGATTCCCAGCCAGTGGACCTCGTGTGCAGCACCATTTGCCTGTCACTGGTGGTTTGCATGTTGCTGTGATGCTGATATGATGCTGATTTGCTGGTATGATGCTGATTTGTGTGTTGCTGTGATGCTGTGATGCTTGTTGCTATGAAGAAGAGTGTGGCATCAGGATTGGTGGGAGACTCATTAACAACCTGCGATGTGCAGATGACATAACCTTGTTTTCTGAGCTACTGGAGAGCGCGCGCGCACGCACGCACACACACACACACACACACACACACACACACCACACACACACCACACGCTCTGGCCCCTGTATTAGTCTGATTAAAGATTAACTTTCTACTTCCGGAAGTGGAACTAAAGGCTCTGAGGTGTCTCCTTGTAAGAACATGTCTCATAAGTATGAAGCAAAGAGGACTTGAAGCACTTACTGATAAACATCAAAGACCATAGCCTTCAGTATGGATTACACCTCAACATAAAGAAAACAAAAATCCTCACAACTGAACCAATAAGCGACATCATGATAAATGGAGAAAAGATTGAAGTTGTCAAGGATCCTCAATCAACTCCCGTGGCAGCAGCAGTCAGGAAATCAAATGATGTATTGCAGTGGGCAAATCTGCTGGAAAAGACCTCTTTAAAAGTATTAAAAAGCAAACATGTCACTTTGAGGACTGAGGTGCGCCTGACCCAAGCCATGGTATTTTCAATCACCTCATATGCATGTGAAAGCTAAGCAGTGAATAAGGACGACCGAAGAAGGATTGATGCCCTTGAATTAAGGTACTGGTGAAGAATAGTGAATATCCCATGGACTGCCAGGAGAATGAACAAGTGGCCTTGGAACAAGTACAGCCAGAGTGCTCCTTGGAAGCAAGGATGGCAAGACTTCGTCTCACGTGCTTTGGGCATGTTATCAGGAAGGTCTAGTCCCTGGAGAAGGACATCATGCTTGGTAAGGTAGAGGGTTAGCAAAAAAGAGGAAGACCCTTGACGAGATGGACTGACACAGTGGCTGCAACAATGCACTCAGAAATAACAATGATTGTGAGGATGGCACAGGACCGGCAGTGTTTCGTTCTGTTGTACATACGGTCACCATGAGTCAGAACTGACTCAACAGCACCTCACGACCTAACGACAGCATGATGCTGAAAAGGTGTTGGCAGAGCTTCCAGACGAAGACAAACTAGGAAGAAAGGCCTGACGATCTACTTCTGACAATCAGCCAGTGAAAACCCTATGGACCACAACGGTCTGATCTGCAACTGATCATGGGGGTGGCGCAGACAGGGCAGTGTTTCCTTCTGTTTTGCCTGGGGTTGCCATGAGGTGGGGGCTGACTTGACAGCAGCTAACAACAACAGCAGCAGATGTTACTGTTAGGTGTGGCTTCTTCACGCGCCCTAGAAGTGTGGCGTCTCAGGAGGGGTCAGTCTCTCCTCGAATCTGGGGGTCCACACCATGGGTTCCTGAGGAAGGCTCCCACAGCCTCCTGCGCTCACCCCTCTTCCTTGTATTCACATGTCTAATTGCCTGTCTTCCCTATTCCAGTTGGATAGTTCGTGAATGCAGAGTGGTGTTTTTCTGGTTCCCCCAGAGCCTGGAACAGTGCCTGGCACAAAATAGGCATTCAATAAATGAAAAGGGTATCCCTCCCTTTGCAAGTGAGGAACCTTCCGTAGGGTACGTGCCCCACTTTGTGTGTCCAGTAAAGGAGGGGTGTGTCCTGGTCGGTCCCAGATGACACAGTTCAGGGCTGCAGAAGCCCCACAGGGAATGCTGCTGCCGTGTGGATGCATTAAAGCCGGCCTCTGGGGGCGGGGTGTGAAGGGCTGGGGAGCTCTGGGGGCAGAGAGGCTCCTGTGGAGCTCCACCCGCCCCTCCCACCCAGTGCTGTTGCCTCCTGTCGGCTGACTCCGAAGTCAGCCGATTTTTGATTTGTGTGGAGAAGCAGGTGAATGCTCTTGGATTCCCCCATCCTCTGTGAGGAGAATCAAAAGCAGCTCAGCGGTGGTTTAAGTCAGCTGGAGAGGCAACTGCGAGGGGTGAGGTGGAGCTGGGCGTGGCGGGTCACTATTCATCCACACACAACCGTCCTCCTAGCCTACGAGCCAATTTGCTTCACCTCTCAAAGGCATGGTTTGCTTCCTCGTTAGTAACCACGAGGAAACACATGTCACCACCCAGCCACCAGACCCAGCTGCGACCTGGAACACGACAGCTGAAGCTGGGATAAGAGGCATTTGGGGTATACCACGTACGCTGCGTAGTTTCACACCAGCAAGGCAATCTCCAGTGAACCCCCTTTCCCTGCGAGAGCACAGAATTAGGATTAGCTTTCTCCTCACATCCGCCTGCCAGGCAGGGCTCTGGTAATTATGCACAATCCCAGAAGCAGCTTTGAGCCAGGCTGGGAGAATCAGGCAGACAGCCCTTCCACGCGCAACAGGAGGCCCCTCCCAGTCAAGGTCCTGACAACACCCATCCAGTTTCTCAGCAGCCGGACTCTGCAGGGGTCACGCTTCGCCCTAGTCACAACTGGCAGAGGCTCACCCGCCTCACCTGGGTGGTCTCGCTCTGGCTGTCGGCTCCTCTCTGATGCCAGCTGCTCTTCTGAATTGGGGCAGCAGGGCTGTAGAACAAAGTCTTCCCTCTTCAGTCTGCTGCTGCTCTCTCTGTCTGACTAGGCTGACTTAATTCTACTTTCTTCTCACTTCAAGCTTCAACCTACCTAATTCTCAGATGTCCAAGATCTTCTCAGCTTTAGATATCCCAGTTCCCTCGAGCCCCAATCCCTGTAAATGCTTCTGGCTCTACTCCAGGGCACGGTCATTTCACCACACCCCAGTGCACTGCTTCCCCTGGGGGACCCCAGTCCCTGATCCATGTCTCTCTTCCATACATCAGCCCTTTCCTTTGATCTATGGATGTGGTTGACCTTGAGAGTCCACATAATTGACCATAGAGAATCAAGATGCTCACTGACCTCTCTGCAATTCAGAAAGACAGCATCAGAAAGGACCGAATGAGGGGAGACTCATCTACCGCTTTTTCTCTACTCTTTAGTTTCAAGTTATATGTGGTGTTACTATGGAGGACGCTGTGTGGTGCAGCAAGGATGGAGAGAACATCCTGAGTATCATCTACCTTCGATCCTGTCTGATGTGCAACCTGCCATGTCTGAGTGCTATCTCACTGGCTTTGGTCTTTGGGAAGGATACCA